ATCTAAATGTCCAAAAATTTTCTTTAAAAGATTTACAGTTACTAGTGAATTCTTTTATCAGTGACAACTTTGGAAGGATAAGGATACTAACCTCAAATTTTCGATGGCAATCAGTCCATCTTGTTCACAGAGTGGCCTAATCTCGCGAGAGCGCGAGACTAGGCCCGAGACTTGCATCGGTCTGCCGGGCCCTGTTGCCTCCCTCCGGAGTAAGGGTAAGTAAGTCTTAGGGATCCTTATCCTTCCAAACTTGTCACTGATGAAAGAATTCACTAGTAACTGTATCTATACGTAACAAATGAATCTCTTCAACGATATTCTTTAAAAGATGAACTGATTTGTAGCACCAGTCGGCCTGGAATCGTAGAAAACTGTTCACTTTATGTCTTATTTTCCCTTTGAAATCCTCTCAAAAACACAGGACATGCCAGTTCAGAAGTTTCAATATTGACCACTTGGTGGGGAACATGCCCCCGGATCCCCCTAGGAACCTCGCGCCTACAAGGCTCACTGGTCCCTCAGAACCCCCCCCCTCCCTTCAAAATCCTGGCTACGGGTATGTAACTGTTCTATCGTGTAGCATTCCAATGATGATTCGTTCTTACCTTTAGTTCCAGACGTCTTGACGGTGTAATACTCGTCAGGGTCGGACCCTACGGAGAAAAACGTAGACGTGACGTCAGGAAAACGGAGGTCCAGAAACAAGATGGCGGCTCCCAGCACCAGAGTCACGGAGCCTGGAACGATAATATGAATATGTGGAAGTCAGATATTGATGAAATAAAAGACCCTTATTGTACATTTTTGTTCATTGCGAACTAAATATAGGTCACGGCAAATAGCGATGGTAGACTAAAATATATCTATAGTAAAACTACATGTACAGGTTCTGCTTCTTCTCGCTTCTAAAGACAGTTGATGTAGGAACATATGTGGAGCTTATCACTCACTCAAAGAATGGAGCTTATAGTACGAGGATTATAAGCTCCATATATTCTTACATTCACAACTGTCTTAATGTACAAGCAAATCTCTAATTGCGTGAATGCTATTGTATAATCCAAATCTCAAGCAAATTTCAAGTTTTACCGTTTTGGCGTGGTGAGCATAGTCAAATGAGAAAAAAAGAAAAAAACAGAGATTGCACAGCTTCAAAAACATCTAGAGTTTTTGACATTTTACTGCCAGAACTGAAAGACCCTAAACAGTCGGTAAACGGTGCTAACATAATATCCGAGGACGTCCCTAACAGAAGCTACAGGTTTTCAGTTTCACCTGTCAGTGAGTGAAATAAGGAAAGTATATTGTATTTAGATATCTACAAATTAAAACACATCAAGCAAACAAACAAAGACACACGCACACACACACACAAACACCACACACATACACGCACAAACACCACACACATACACGCACACACACACACACGCGCACACACAAATACAAAAGATACATAGACACACACACACACATGAAAACACACGCACTAACCCCAGACACACACACACACACACGAACACCAAAAGACACACAAAAACACTACAGACACACACACACACACACACACACACACACACACACACACACACACACATGGCACACAAACACAAACACTAACACACAGACACAACGACACATAAACACACAGACACAAAAGCACTACAGAAACACACACACACACACACACACACACACACATACATACTCAGACACCCTACCCCCCCAAAAAAACAATACCTCCGTAGCAAAAACGGGGGTAACAAAAAACGTCCCCAGCCTTACCGACGGCCAGGTTGAGCCAGAAGCACCAGCCGTAGTGGAACACGAGCGTCGCGGTTCCCATGGGAACGGCCAGGACCGGCCCGAACCTCAGGAAGTGGAAGATGAGGTTGCCTAGCAACATGACCCCGCCCGTCAGCATCATGAAGTAGGCTCCGTACCGGATAAACATGCAGAACAGGATGTTGGTTAGGATCCACAGGGGGAAGGCAGTCCTGCAAAAACAAACAAACAAACAAACAAACAAATAAATAAACAAACAAACAAACAAAACTGTCAAACAGGTATGCCAACAACATTGAGTCTTTACTTGTAGGTTCGTATCATTATATCTTGTCCGTTATTAGTTATCTCTATCTAATGTTTTTAATCCAATTTACCACCTATCTGTCATTTTAACTTTACTTTCTATGTTACTGAGGTTATTTTGCAAAGGCCACATGTTACACAGAATTCAGCTTCGGCTGCCAGGTGGTAACTGTATTTTTTGCAATATTACATTGGAATCAAGAATTCGGACATCTCATACCTCCAAAAATTTGTAGATGTAAATGTTTTTGAGAAAATACAAAAACCGGAAGGTCTGCTGTAGTACCAATGTAAGCGACCAAGAGGCCCATTTTTGACCTTGATCTTTGCCTTTCTACGGCCTACCAACATACTAAATATCATCACAATCCATAAAGGCATTCCAAAGTTATGCTGATACAAATGTGTGAAAACCCACACACAGACACACACAGACACACACACACGCAGACACACCTACAGATAAATCACAACACCATTTTTCATGGACGTAATAAACCTAGTCTCTACCAGACTAACTACGCTGGCTACATATAGGAGAATATTTGCCAGGGGAGTTCGTCTGCCTTAGGGTTTGACTTCCCGCGACCAGATTCCCCTGGCCAATTTTTCTCTCAATTTTCGCCGAATTCTACGATCCGTATTCCCTTAGAAAGGCCTGGTGGAGGCTAATAAACCACTATATCAAACGTACCACAGCATGGTGAGTGTGTAGTAGCCGTGTGTGTAGTAGTGTGTACGTACCACAGCATGGTGAGTGTGTAGTAGCCGGCCAGTCGGTAGCTGCGGTGCCAGCGGATGTCTTCCCCGTCCAGAGTGAAGTACTCCGCCACCCACAGGATCGGGTACGGCAGGCCCCGGTACTGCGCAGCGCGGAACTCACGGTTTATCAGACTCGCTGAAGGGGAGAGAAATGAATAAATGAATAAATAAAGAATGAATGAATGAATGGATGGATGAATAAACGAATGAATGAGTGAGTGGGTGAGTGAGTGAGTGAGTGAGGGAGTGGAATAGAAAAGTAAGAAGGAGGGAAAGAGGAAACGAAGGAAGGGCGGATGGATGGAAATGAGGATGTAAAGGAGGAGGGGCAAGAGATGGATAGATTGAATGGATGGAAAGAAGGGATGATGGCGGGCAGGAAGGAAGGAAGAATGGATGAAAGGAAGGGAGGATGGTGGAAGAATGGAGGGAAGGAAGAATGGATAGAAGGATGGATGAAAGGAAGGATGGATGATGGAAGGATGGAGGGAAGGAAGGATGGATGAAAGGATGGAGAGGTGGAGGGAAGGAAGAATGGAGGAAAAGAAGGAGGGAAGGAAGGATGGATGAAAGGAAAGGAGGATAGAAGGATGAAGAGAAGGAAAATGGATGGCAAGAAGGAGGAAAGGAAGGAAGGATGGATGACAGGAAAGGAGGATGGATGGAAGGATGAAGGGAAGGAAGAATGGATGGAAAGAAGGAGGAAAGGAGGGAAGGATGGCTGAAAGAAAGGGAGGATGGAAGGATGGAAGGAAGGAAGAATGGATGGATGAAATGATGGGGGAAGGAAGGAAGGAGGGAAGGGTGGAAGATGGAAGGAGGGGAAGGAAGGAGGGAGTGAAGGGAAGATGGAAGTAAAGAAGACCCTTATTGTACATTATTATATATACAGATAGAATATACTCTATAATAAACTGTTTAAACTCATTACAAATACGACATGTCCTTCATCAATGAAGTGTATGAATTATGAAATATGGAAACATAGATACACATAACAAAGCATTTTACGTGGCATTGTAAATACATCGACGTGGAGGTTAATACAATAAATCCTATTCATATGTAACGAAATACATCAATTATGAAATATGGAAACATAGACACACCAAGGACGTTTTCTATTTTTTCACTTTATTTCATTTTATTTTATGAAGATTTACCACCTCTTCAAGATGTCAAACCTGTGACTAGACTGTAATAATTGATAGAACGTCCTTTGATTCACATAACAAGGTATTTTCCACTTGACCTTGTAAATACATCGATGTGAAGGTTAATACAATGAATTGCATGTCTTGTATAACGAAGTACATTAATTATGAAATATGGAAACATAGACACACCAAGGACGTTTTGATAGGAAGTCCTTGGATACACATAACAAAGTATTTTCCACTTGACCTTGTAAGTACATCAATATCAATTGTGGGTATAAATAATGAAATATGGAAACATAGTGTAAGAAACCAGGAGGAGACAGTAGAAACAGATAAAAACCCCTTGGTCCCGGGCCGGATTCGAACTCACGGCTCCCGGGCCACAGTCAGACTCTCTAACTGAGTGAGCTAAAAGGTCTAGACCCGTTTGTCGGATCTGTCGGTAGCGCTTATAAACCCCCCACTGTTACACTACTCCCCCTTTTCTTTTCAAGATTCGTCCTCGAATCTTCCAAATTAGACATCCCTGGAGCGGCACTCTTTGCCAGAACTCCCAGGGCCAGTGTGGGAACCACTGTAAGAACAGGAGGAGACAGTAAAAACCCCACTGGTCCCGGGCGGGGTTCGAACCCACAACCTCCCGGGCCCCAGTCCACAGGCAGACACTCTAACCTCTCCGCTAAAAGGTCTAGACCCGTTTGCCGGATCTGTTGGTAGCGCTTATAAACCCCCCACTGTTACAATAGACATACCAAGGACATTTTGATAGAAAGTCCTTAGATACGCATAACAAAGTATTTTACGTAACGTTGTAAATACATCAATGTGATGATTGATACAATAACTTGCATGTCTTATATCAATAAAGTGCATTCATAAGATATGTAGACACACCAAGGACGTTCTGATAGAAAGTCCTTAGATACACATAACAAAGTATTTTTACGTGGCGTTGTAAATACATCGATGCGAAGGTTGATACAATATATTTCTATGAGAACACGAAGTTCAAGCGCTCAAGAAATATGTAGAGATAACTTCTGATTTTTTTTGGATAGCACCTATCAATTTGAAAACGTATAACTCAATGAAGGAAATAATAGAAAAATGCCTAAAATAAAACAAAACTAGAGTTCCGCGATCTCATACCTTCGCCAAATGATGTTAATCTTTATGGCTGACAAATATAGATTTTTCCCCCTGATTGTGCAGATAGGGTCCTCATTTCCATGAATTATATCAGTCTTTATCATATTCTCAACCAAAAGACAGTCTTATATTAACAAAAGGTGCCATTCTATTATTTCCTCATAAATTATGCAAATAAGGTCCTGATTTAAATACATCATGTTTAATGATGTTTACCTTCACTGAACTTTCAAATACCACAAGTATGAAATTCCAGGCAGTTATCTTTACAGAATTATAACATTTTCTCATTAATTATGCAAATTAAGTCCTCATTTGCATAATCAATATCTGCCTGTGCTTCTCTCCTTCTCAATTACCAAACTCACAAGCTTCAATAGTCCTATCATGGAATGCAGCTGATTTATAGAATATCCCCATAAATTATGCAAATCACATCCACATTTGCATAATTGTCACATAATTACATCAAGCATCATGTAAGCTACGTACATACCAAAAATCACGAC